ACTACATTTAAAAAGCATGTTTACGAAGTAGCCTTGACCAGAAATACACAATCTTGTCAGCCGTTAAAATCATTTCAATAATGAGAAGACTAGGTAATAATCACTTTCAATTGAATTGGTCATTCTCAATGCCTCAAAAACTGTACGATTTTACGACCACCTCACCGAAAAAATCTCTATATATTCTATGTGAATGTTTTGTTCTGTTTAATATCATAGAGGATTCAATAGTGTTCTTGCTCTTACATAGTATAAATGTAACAGTGAATTCAAGAGTTAGTGTAATACTTTTCAATCAAACTTGTATTATACGCCTCAAACTATTGCGAAATAAAATTTATAAGTTTATTCCATGCTTCAAACGATGATAAAACATGAAGAAAACACATGACATTCTTGAGAATCAACCATTCCGAATGAAAGCTTCATATTGTCTGATTCGACAGTATGCAAAGGTCATGAAACTTTAAAATATGGATTCGGTTGAATTTCCAAGAAATAATACACTTCTCTTGATCAGTTCTTAAAATGAATTGATCAAGTTAGACATTAACACTGTTAGATACCGGCTCCGTGGTCTAACGGTTAGGGCGTTCGCCTACAATACCGAAGGTCCTGGGTTCGAATCCTGCGGGGTGCAGGAGCCGTAGATGCGCACTGCTGAGGAGTCCTATACCAGGACGACACGGCCGTCCAGTGCTTCCAGGTTTCTAATGGTGGTCTAACGTTGATCGACTAATGGTTTCGAAAAAAGTTCTTAAAATGGTTGGCTATTATTACATCTGAATTATATAAAGTTATTTCACATACCGTTCTAGTTACAAACTGATTATCATAGCTAGAAACAAATGCAACATCACTGAATAACTGTTCTGTAATTCTGAGTAAATCTCATTTTATGACAAAACATATCCAAGTTTTCTATCTAGAGTCGCTTTATAATGTAAAAAAACTTATTCTGTAAATAATCTATAAAACGTATCAGACAATTAATTAATTACTGAATTTTAATCAAATTTATTCAATGTCATGCATTTTAATAGTTCAGTTCATGTCACTTTTATTGTCTAATACAACTCAATTTTGTTAATAAATTATTCAAATATCTACAAACATTCTTCATTCAATAGAAGAAGACATTGAATCGATCGATAATTCAAGGTTTTGTGAGTAGCCATCACTCAGTCACAACCATGATGATCTACTGTCCATTAAAACAGTAATAAGAATGAATTCTGAAAGAAAATGCAACACACACAACACACTGATCGATAACGATTTTGATGTAACATGCCATTTTCAGCTGAGGTCTGATTACTGGTAGCGCTACATTTAAGTAGTACAATTTAAGTAGTAAGATAAAAATTATTTTTCAAAAAAAAATGCCTCGTAAGTGGAACACTCATGGTAATTTCATGTCCAATAAATAAAAAAAATATCTAAGAGTTCGTAAGCCACTGAATTGTTTGTCAAAAGCAAAATTATATCTGTCTGAGTATTGAGTAAGAATTAAAAATCAATATTCAATCTCTTCAATACCTTACTTTATAAACATAGAAATAGTAATAATACAATAATTTTTCTTGAGTATGGAATAAATCTAGTTGAAGAATTATAGAAATCTATGAATAACTATTTTTTCAAAGTATAGGACTCTTCAGAAGCTTGCATTCATAACCACAAACGAGAATGGAGCAGGGATTTTTCAGAAGAGGTGTTGAGAACCTAACGTTAGCTGAGTCCAATCCGCAATGAATACTGTCTACATATGGAATTCATCACACAGATGTATTATCGTGTATTTACCAAAGAGGTAGTGGTGAATCGTGGATTTCAGTTAGGCCAAGAGTAAAGCAGTCGTCACTAATGGCCTTAGATGATCGTTTAACTAGATTGCGAATTGATTGAATTCGATAATGTGTTCCATTGCCCCCGGGTTCTATTCCTAGCTAGATCGTGAACTCTTGAGAAGATGCACATGAGAACAAACTGAAGTTCAGTTCTTTTTGGCTTCCAAATTAAGGTCAGTGGGCAGCATAACTAATGGAAAAAGTATGTCAATATTTATAATCTACTAGTTGATTTACGCTGCTGCAGTGAAGTGTGACTACATAGACCGTTACATATTGCCACCAATTCCTACTTAATCAATAAACGATTATGAGACTTCAAGTTTTAATTAGAACATTCACAAAGACTAAAGAAACAAAATCATATCTGGCTGATAATTTGAAAATAGTACGAAGTGTGTGTGTGCGTGTCCCATGTACACTTTCAAAGTAATCTAATCCATCCATAATCTTTACTTCAGTTTTCAATGAAATTTTTTTTACTGTAATCATTGTTGTTTTCTATTTTATTGCCAAATAATCATGTAGTAAAATATTTGGTCTTTATTTTTACTATATCAACAAAACCTAACACAATGTTGTTAGTATTGATCATTTGCCCCGAATACTGTCAATAGGTCCCACACCAGTGAGCCTACAACAACATTGCTGGAGCAATCAACACACAACTTTCACGTTTGTTGATATTCCATCGACATTTGTAACATTATTGTCATACTATATACTACACTACAATACAAAGGTATTGTAAATCTGTGAATAAGTAACAGTTGTTAGTAGTGTTAATCTTTCATTCTTAAGCAGCTGAATCTTAAATAGTTAGATTTATTATCAGAAGGAAAATATTGATTAGACTGGATGGAACCAGACACATAGATTGCATGTGCTTATGTGCTGACGATACATGTTGCCTCAAGGACAAGTGATATATATATATATATATATATATATATATATATATATATGTATAATTGAAGAAGCCTTGATATGCGTAGACAGTGTATTCTACAAGCACCCAGAAAATATGAGGTTTTGTACAGAAGAACAAGAAGGAGCATAAAACTTTACACACAATGCATATGTATACAAGTTAGATCGACCGTGAATACTAACCAATAGGCAACAAGATTCAAAAGTATGTGAACATGATAGTTTAGGACGACCTTAAATATTGACCAATGGAATTAGACTTACAAAAATTATTTCTTTAGGATAGCTGATGAATATCCTAACATATATATATATATATATATATATATATATATATATATATATATTGCACAATCTCTTCCATGTCATATGATCATTACATTACATTGATAATAATGAGATATACGCACCTATTTTAAAATGGTCTTGTGTGCTGTTACGGGTATGAGGGCAGTTGTCACTTACCGGCTCCCACACACCGTGGAACGGTGTTTCTTGAGGGACTTGAAAAGGAAGATAGATTAGTGTTGGTCTTAGAGACCTGGGTGCGTGACTGCAGAGTCCAAGGGACAACTGCTTGAGGCCGGTCATGCACGGCCTTTTGATGAAAGGTTTTTTTTAGTATTAGCTCCGCTCTTGAAAGCCCTTAGTGGGCACCCTTACCCAAGGAGACGGAAATCTGTGAGGTAGGGTTAGGTGTGACATTTTTAGGATCGAACTTTTCTAACCCTCCCTTCTTTGTGAGAAGGCAGCATCGCTGCAGATGCTGGTTGTACTACAGAAACACCCTACTACTGTCACACACCTCTGCAGTCAGCAGTACGACTTCGTCCTCAGACCTTGAGTAGCTGCTTTTAGTCTGATCGTTCTCCAATCGACCTGCCTGGCAAGGTAGAACCTGCAGGAACATATGTTCCAGCCAATATAGCTTGGTTGGGTCATGACGATAGGCAAGCCCGACCACCATGTCAGGGTAGCAGATTCGGTCGGGATATATATATATATATATATATATATATATATATATATATACTAATGAATTGTGTACATAAGTAATTCATTTGCCAACTACATTCTCTCTTATATATATTCTTTATAGTTCTTTATATGCAAATAACAAGTATCATGTTGAGGTTAGAGTGCAGAAAGTATGTATATCATCTATTTGTATCGAGTAGGACATATTCAAAATACTGCACAATCTCTTTCATGTCGTCATATGATCATATCATTATCAGCTATAATGGCATAGTTAAAAAGACAAAAAATAACAACAAGAACAACACCCACAAAAACAATCATCATTTCAATCAATCAATCAATGATCATCATCATTTAAAAAAACACTAGCAATGACTTTGTTTTTTTATATTTATTTATTGAATCAGTAATCTTTGTAAAAGTTTAAACATTTAGATTTAGAATCCATCTAGAACCAAAAACAACAACAAATAAAAAGACGTCGTCGACTAGAATAACAACAACAACAACAGCAAAGAGGAGAAAAACGTGAACAAATAAAAAACAGAAAAGTACAAATTAAAAAAAAAGCAATTCAACATGACAAAAATAGACATAATTTTATTTAATAATCTCAGATTAATTATCAACAAAGTAGAAATACACACACACACACACACACCAATGCATGGAATGAGATTTAGCGAGCGCGAGCGAGAAAGAGTAGCAAACAAACGAGCAGGCGATCGATTTCACGTGTTATCTATCCAAACAAAAAAGGCGTTCGTTGGTTGATGTTTTTTTCTTTTTAGCTCGTCAACTCATCATCATCATCATCATGATCATCATAGGTAGGATTAAATTAGAAACAATGAAAAAAAAACTAGTAAACAATTACAACGAAAGATCATTTGAAAGAGAGAGAGAGATAGAGCAGCTCATTGTCATGTAATAAATAATAATAATAATAATAATAGGCAAATAATGAGAGTTCGGACAAATAAATATGATCTGTTTGTCAGTCAGTCAGTCAGTTGCAACGTAAGAACTTCGTACGTATGTGTAACTAAAGTTCATGTTGCTGCCATACCACAACATGAGCACACAAAGACGCAATAGTCACTTCTAAATCTCAGCACATAAGACCAAATTGTTCAAAATATCTGTTTGTGTAGGGGAAAAAAAAAGAAAAGTATGACAGTATGGTATGTCACACATGCACATTTTGTGCATTCATTCATTCACTCATTCATTCATTCATCAATAATTAATATCTTCTGTATAACACAGATTACGTAAATAATCCCAAGCATAATCAGTGAATGTAAATAAATGTTTATGACTTGATTTCAGTGAATTGATAGTTTGATTATTATGATTATTTAAGCAGCATGATTCACCATTTCCCACTACTGGATTGTTGATACATGTAATAATATTGCCTAATTGAAGGCATTCAATATAAATGAGTGTTTCTTCATTCGATTTAGTGATACCAGCATCAAGTAACCAATTTTTCAATGTGTCTTGATAAAATATTTGTTCATTGGCAATGGGAGAATTAATTCTAAAATTGATGAAAATAAATAGTGTAAAAATAAAGAAAAAAAAGAATTTAAATTTATCAAATGTAGGAAATTATATTGTGATGGTGTGTGTTCGGTTCTTTGAGTTGGCTGTCTTTTGATTGTGAAGCATTCATTGTAACCTTATCCTAGCCTGAATTTTCAGGGGTTGACCTTCTACCTGGAAATTCGTTTACTGATCTAGAATATGCCTATGATATAGTTAGTTCTATTCGGTGAAGACGCTGACAAAAAGGCAGAGTCTTCTGATTACCCTACGCAACAATGCAACCATGTTCGGGATGCGGTTCTCACACTCGAAATACAAAATGTTGCTTCAAGATTGGGTTGTGTGGGCACCTGAACTAGTGTGATAGGGAGTGAAGTAGTCGAGCGTGTTGATCGCTTCACTTATCTGGGGAGTCTCATCAGTGCTGATGACATGGTGATTGACGAAATCTCAGCTCGGATACAGAGAGCTCAATTTGCTTTTGCCGATTTACGCCGTTTATGGCGTACGCGAGATATCCGTTCGCTAACCAAAGGACCAGTGTATTGCACAGCAGTTCGCTCTATTCTCCTATATGGCTGTGAAACATGGCCGTTAAGAGTAGAAGATGTTCGTAGGTTACTAGTATTCGATCATAGATGTCTTAGAAGCATTGGTCGTATATCGTGGGACAACCTGTGGTGCGCGCTACTTATAAGTAGTATATGACGCGAGTGTAAACGTAATGTCTGGCAGCAGAAGATGAGGGGGGAAGATAAAGAAAGGAAGACAAGGGATGGTGTGTTTCGGTTCTTTGAGCTGGTTGTTTTTTGGTTGTGAAGCATTTATTACATTGTTCTTCTTGTGAACAACAACTTCAGATGGACTTCTATCAGAAGAAGAACAATGAAAGCTACAGAGTCAAAATATCCAGGCTCAGAGAACTGAAACACCATCACAATCATCTGAGCTACCTGAGCTACAGAAAATTATTATTCAAAATGAATTAGTCAGTTAGTCATGTGTAATGTGTTGAGAGAGAGAGCATTGGTAGTTCTAAATTGTCATATCAGATTTTGGTACATTAGAAATCACGACTAATCTCAGTGTTAGTGTTAATAGTTGAGTAGAGTATAGAGAAGGAGGTAAGATTTTGGAAATCCAGCATCTAAGAGGAAACAAAGAAATAATACACCTCTAGTATTGTGAATGATTCTGAGATATGTCACTAAATCTTACTGCGTTTATAGTTAGTTGACTTTAATCAAACGAGTCTTAGTATGGTAATCAGTCTAATATTACTTCAATTCGTGTGCGCTACACTCTGGTGTGACCTTGTATGATGCTAGTTTGGAATCAGTACCGCTAATACTGCTACTACCTCCACCACTATGGGATTTGAACTAACAATTGTCTCTCTGTGCTAATGTGGTATGGCAGCAACATGAACTTATTTACGTACGTACGAAGTTCTACGTTGTAACTGGCTGACTGACAGAGAGAGGTTAGTTGCAGTTAAGACAGTTCAATGTTAACATTTCCGAGTGAAATAGATTTACAAACCATGAAGAGAATTATTTCCGTACACATTGTATACATAACAGAATGTAAACATGATAACAAGAACAAAATGTTAACTCCGAGCTTTCTCTTAATCAGTAGTATATTTAGCATAGTTATGGAGATTGTTGTTTTCTATTGAAATCATAAATCAATTATTGTTAGACCACCATTAGAAAGAAACTAGCAAAGTGCACAAAAGACCCCCCCCAGGACGAACGGTCTCGCTCATGAGCGCTTAACCTTTAGATCACTTAGTCGACCGGCGTTCAATAGTTCCAACTACCGACTAGCACTGATTGGATAAGAATTAGCCAATCAGCGTGCAGCTAATACAATCATGCTTTAAAATTCCATCTATGGTACCGCTAACAGTTGAATAATTATCATAAGAACAAACACAACCTACCTACCTACTGACAAATACTGATCAATGCTGCAAAGACATACTATTTTAAAATTAGATTACCATGGTGATGATATAGTATAGTATAAATTGTAACAATCAATATATATAAATAATTTTTACATTACTTACAATTTCTCTGTACCAATACTGGATGCGCATGATTTTAAATGGAATTTAACAAATTGTTTAGTGATTTGATCAATTTTACTTTTATCCTCAGTAGTAGTTTGATTTGATGAATCAGTGAAATCATCCGTATTGAATTTTTTACCAATGAAATGTTTAAACCAACGTGAAAAACTTCATGTGATCGATCGTAAGCAATGAAGATATTGATGTATAATGGAAGAGAGAGAGAGAGAAAGAGAGTGAAGAAGAATGAGTGAATAAGTGTACAATGTGATTATTATATTCTTATGATGATTATACGTGTTCACCTTAGTCGATAAACGAGAACGAGACAATGAACCAGAAGTTCAGGTAGGCCTATTTTGATCCGCAAACGGCAAAACAGAAGTCTTGATGTAGCGTAGAAAGTATATTCTACAAACATCCAGCAAGAACACAAATCTCGTTTATTTATCCATCATAGGAACGTCCTTGGGACAGTTACGAAAATATCACACTAAAATAACACATCGACCAATCACAGCTAAGGATATTCCTGGTGGGAAATGTGAGTGATCTGAAGGTCAACTGATCAGCCCGTGCTCGCAAAACGTGAAATCCGAAACAAGGCATTTATCAAGCAAGTTCTGGGGATCTAACATCCCAAACATAAGTGGATAAAATTAACCATAGATTAGTGTGGAATGGATGTCATGCGTGCGTATTGTTTTATTAATCAGTAAATTTGTGTATAATTTGTTGAGTAGTAGCATTCAAATGTTTATTACCATTGAAGATGGCGGAATTATTTATCGATAATTTTGATTAAACCATGCAAAATGAAGTTCGATTGACTTGCTTTCAACTTTATTATCATTATTATTATTATTCTACTACCTTCGGATCCCTTGGCCAGACACTATCAGCCACAACCTACTACTGGTCAGAACGAACCAGATACCAGCCGAGAAAGGAATTAAGAAAAAGCGCTGGAAGTCGATAGGACACACATTTCGGAAAGCACCCAATTGCGTCACAAGACAAGTCCTCACCTGAAATCCTCAAGGTCAAGAAACATATTACGCCGAGAAAGGGAGGTAGACATGAGACAGAACAAAGAACAATTGGACAGAACTGGAAGGGGAGGTCCAGGACAGAGTAAGTTGGAGAATGCTGGTCGGCGGCCTATGCTTCATTGGGGGTGACAGGTGTAAGTAAGTGTGATAATTGAAATTCATTCACATATTTAGCAGTTCATATGTTGTTTATGACTGACTGATCTGACTATTGGTCTTTTCAAAGTCAGTTCGATAAAACTACATGTCCATAAGTAACTGTGTACATTTTCATGCAATATATTATATGAACATTTCAACAGTGATACCATACCATAGCAATGCAAATGATATTCTGAATACGATACCCACTATGCTAATGGGGAGTCGTTGGGGAGTCGTCACTCACTAGGAAGAAACAGTTTTTTCAGTTTGATAGAATAAGTACAACGGATTTTATGGAATCAATTTTTATTGATGCTGTTTTATAGCTAAAGAGATTACGGTAGACACACTAAAAACACATAAAATCTATTCAAACACAGAATCGATAGTTCAATAAACCATGAAAAAAAAAAGAAATTTTGTTTCATTCAAGTATGTAAGTGTTAAGTGTAGAAAGTAGTGATAAGTTGTTTAAATTCAATTTGTTTTTTTTCGACTTACAAACGTTTTATCGGCGCAATAAACAAATCTGTGTCGAGACCAAATAATACAAATAAAACTACACCTTGGCCAAAATTAAAAGAACCATCCAGAAATTCAAGAACTATGTAAACACCTGATGGAGCATCATGTACAAGCCGCCATGTACACAAACAAATACCCTGGAAAGAGAAAACAAATAATCGGTTTGTTACACAGTAAAATTGGTTTGCAATTCTACAATCGAGTTAATCATGTTGTCAAGCTTAAATACCATAGTTCAATGAAATCCTGTGTATTTAGAAACTATTATGCACTGTGGCCAAAAACATATGAACAAATATCACCAGTCATAGTTAACTGTTGGGGACGTTAGATCCCCGGAATTCGCTTGATAAATGTCTTAATTTTGGATTTTATTCATAGGCTGATCAGTTGACCTTGAGATCACTCACATTCCCCAACAGGAAAATCCTTGGCCGTGATTGGTTAATGTGTTATTTTAGTGCGCTATTTTCGTGACTCTTCCAAGGACGTTTCTATGATGGATAAATAAACGCGATTTGTGTGCTGGCTGGGTGTTTGTAGAATACACTTTCTACGCTATATCAAGACTTTTGGTCAGCCATTGGATCAGGATAGCCTACCGTGTCACAGGTTCATTGTCTCGTTCTCGTTTATCGACTAAGGTGAACTCGTGATAAATTTCAAGCATATCAAGTGACAAGCATAGCATTAACAATATGGGAATCTGGCAAAAATGTGATCATATTTAAATGGTTACGTTTCATATCTCATTATAGGCAAGAGATTAAATAAATTATACTATTTTAATGTTTATTTATTTTGTATTGTATAAAACTGTTAGAAAATGAATGAAGCATACATATGCTAATCAGTTGTGAAGAAGCAGTAAGCAGAATAAGATTTCAAACATGAGACAGTAAATAGGTTGTGTAAGTTTTGCGCGGTAAAATCTTTTCTCCAGTTACATTGTCTTTTTTTTAACAGTTCGTAACATGTTCCCCTCTCTATCGGTAAGGAATAAATTTTGATGACATTACATATGGTGAAGCTTAGAAAGACTGAACCACTGAGAATCCCTTTGATACATGGATGCAGAAATTTCACTTGGTGTTAATTACGATTGAAAAGAAAGAACTAGTTAATTATACTTCCTAAACAGTTTCTGGTGATAAGCTTTCATATACACTTGAAAGAGTCCTAGTGAGAAACCATATAGCTAGAAGCGGTTCAGCTAGGTCGAATGTGAAATAATTGTCCGCCGCGAAGAATCGGAAGATGATCGTGTCATATCGTAAATCAGTTTAACTTTGATAAACACACAGCTGGAATATGAGTTTGTTCTATCCCACAGTACGTTGTAGTTGGTGCCTGGCCAACGGATCCGAAGTATTTTGCGTAGAAACCTGCCGTGCCTTGGACAGGCAATAGTCCCAGAGGGGCTTCAGGCAGAGTTTACAAGACAAGCACACACCTGGAATCCTCAAGACCAGAAGAAAACAGCAAGGCCAAGGAACAAATTACGCCGAGAAACGGAGACAGATCTAGAAAGAACGAACTAGAAAGGAAGGCCCAGGACAGAGTAGGTCGGAGAATGCTCGTTGGGTGCCTATGCTACATTGGTGGTAAGTGGCGTAGAAGAACCGAACCACTGAACGTCCCTATGACTTACACTTTTAACTTGTAAACAAATATACATATTTTCAGTGGTTCAATACATGAATGCGGAAATTTCACTTGGTGTTAATTACAACTGGTAAGAAGGAACTAGTTAATTATACTTCTTAATTAGTTTCTGGTGACAAGCTTTCATATACAATTGAAAGAGTCCTATCGGTTCAGCTAGATCGAGTGTGAAACAATTATCCGCCTTCAAGAATCGGAAGATGATCGTGTCATATCATGAATCAAATGAACTTCGATATACACATACACACATAGCTAGAGGCCAGGTTAATATGCAGTTGGTGTTGATCTCCATATATCAGTCAACTGAAATGTATACCCATGATAATAATAATAATATTAATAATAATAATAATGTGAAAGTAAACTTACAAAAAACATTGTCACTAATAATAATATTAAAAATATCACATGTTTATGATGTGGAGGTTTATGGTTGTTGTCGCCTTGAACACAAATATTATCCAATTCAAGTCCTATGGAAATTTGTTGACTAATCGGATGTGTAGATGATGATGATGATGATGACAAGATCATAGAAGGTTGATATGTTTGACAATATCGTGCAAGAAGTCTAGACAAAACAGACAATGAATGAATGAGTGAATAAATAAAACAAAACATGATATCAACCAAAAATTACATTCAATGGTATAAACTACAGATTAACAACCATGATAAAAAAAAATTGTTGAACATTGAACAAAAAACGTACAATAAGCACAAAAAAAACACATAACCAAAACAAATGTAAACCGACAGGAAATTTGACTTTATCTGATCATTGTACTTGTATTCTACTCCTATAACATGTTCCTTTGTTTTCTTTAATAAAAACATGTATACAACGTTTTTTTATTTATCTTCGCTTGTCGATTTCCTGTTCTTTTCTAGTATTATGGAAAAATAAACTATGCTTATTTGATCTGGCATTGTTTTGACATAATTCGCTAGCCAGGTGAATTCAGTCGTACGTACATCAGTCCAAGTTACCACACCACATCAGCATAGAGACGTGAATGTCAAATTCAAATACCTTAGTAGTAGAGATAGTAGAAGTATTAGCGTCGATGGAGAAGATTAGGATTCGAAGTTATTATTTAAGAAGTATAATTCAGTGAAATAAGTTTAGAAAGAGAAAGATACAGATGATAAGGAATTCAGAAGGTTAGAATTTAAGAGAACACAAAGAGTGGATGCACTTGCGCCATTGCAAACGATTTTGAGCCATGTCGTTCGAGGCCTCAAACCATTGCTGACTTTCATCTCGCGGACTCCAACCACGTAGCCTACATATATACCAACATGACTCAGTCCACTTGTCAGTGACTTCATGGATTTCTGTCATGTTTTGGTCTGACCACCCGTATCTTTCTTCCAACCTACTCCTACACCACAAATCGTAACTTGACGAGACAGTCAATGGTCAGACATTCGTGACAAATGTCCCAACCACCTTAATTGATGAAGTTTCAATACTTCATCTATTGATCTGCCATTCTTGCTTAGCACCCGTTTCCTAATAACAACGTTGAAAAGTTAATTAACGCTATCTTAAATATTAATAATAATAATAATAATAAACACAAGCATTTATTATTATTATAGGGTCAAATTAACCTCCTCAGACACTATACACGTGAGAATTTCATTCTTTTTATCATATGCAATCGATACTACTGATGAAGGTGGTGTGATGATAATTATTTTTTTTCATTACTGAATCGGTTATATATTTATTATATTTTCAGATTACACATTCCATATTGTTGCATAGTGTATTCTACTGATAGTAAGTAGTACCTGTAAATAACAACAACAACACCAATGCAATGCAATGCAATGACAACAATCCAGTGTATTTTTTCTTAGTTAGTTAGTTAGTTAGTACCATAACTAACATTGATATTCATGATAATAAAGGTAGTTAGTTCTATTCATCGAAAAAAAAAATTCATTTGTTGAAATACTCTATGTTTATAAACAATCTGTTTTTTATATATAAACTATGTAGGCTGGATAAACAATAATTGTTTGATGTATATATATATATATATAAATATATCACTATTGAACTGAATGATTTATACGAAGTAATATAAGTGCCAAAACTGATCTAAGTTGGCATAGCATAGAACAACTAATTGCTAAATCTTATAATTGGTCAATTAAAAAGGGTAGAATTTCATACGTGCGTACATCAGTTCAGTTTGCTGTACCACATCAGCACACAGAAATGCAACTAACTGGTAGTTCATATCCAATAGTAGTAAAGATAGTAGAAGTATTAGCGGCTTAGAATATGCCGATGACATAGTCCTATTTGGTGAAGACGCTGACAAAATGCAGAGTCTTCTGATCACCCTAAGCAACAATGCAAGCATGTTCAGGATGCGGTTTTCCCCCTCGAAATGCAAAATGTTGCTTCAAGATTGGGTTTCATCGGCACCTGAACTAGTGGTAGTTGTGCGTGTTGACCGCTTCACTTATCTTGGGAGTCTCATCAGTGCTGATGGCCTGGTGACTGACGAGATCTTTACACGGATACAGAAGGCTCGATTAGCTTTTGCCAACCTGCGTCACTTATGGCGTAGGCGAGATATCCGTTTACTGACTAAAGGACGAGTGTACTGTGCAGTAGTTCGCTCCGTCTTACTTTATGGCTGTGAAACATGGCCAGTGAGAGTAGAAGATATTCGTCGGTTATTGGGTTCGAAGATATTATTCGAGAAGTGTAATTCAGTGAGTTAACTTTAGAAAGAGAAAGATAGAGATGATGAGGGATTCAGAAGGTTAGAATTTCAGAGAGCACAAAGAGTGGATGCACCTGAGCCATGTCATTCAAAGTCTCTAACCATCGATTACTATCGGCGGTTTTTATACAATTAAGAATTGCTACAAATAAGACAAGTTATCTTGAAAAATATACGCAAATAGATAAATAATCGTCAGTGTTTACGGTATGTTGGTCGGCAGTCTATACTCCACGAGAGGTGACAGGTATAAGTAAGTAGTTATGGTATTGTTTTCAGTTAAATGTTGTAGGTCAACCGACCTGAGCCTGCAGCACATGCACGTATTCTCCTTTTATACAACACAAGGATGCTCACGACTGCCATTTGCATGATCACCCCTGCCCCTGAGGTTACGGGCATGTTGTTCAGTTTGCCAGGCAAGCAAGTCAAGCATCCAACCAGTGTACGCACGAACAGTCAACCCCATACGGGTGCTTATGAATCGATTCGATTTCTCTAACCAATCCACTATCCAAAGTCCCCAGTCGGCAAGGAGGGCTTACCCAACTAGACCTGGCACCCTGTACGGGTTACCGAGTCACTCAACAGTGCACTAACCAGCAACAATTCCAAACTGTCTTGTTATAAGAATCATTTTTAATCATGAAACTTAACTGCACACTGATCGCTGTTTGTGGTGGTGGTGAAAACTGCAGTGTACGAGGTAGAAACGACTAATTCATAACTCCCAACGTACACAGCTAATTATCCACTGGATTCCGTTTATTCAACTTATTTAAAATGTATCTATCTATATGTAATATACCTATGAAAATATTGATTATTTTTTTTTACCACACAACTGACAAATGAAACAAACATTGAAACTATTTGATAATAATAATACAACCATTCATCTCTTCCGGCATTGAAGCTTGTATTTTATATTTCATTTGGCACATTGCACCTTAGTCAAATCATCACCAATGAGGTGGTAGTTAAGAAGAAGAACAATGGATAGAATTATGTGAAGACGTTAGAAAATGGATAATCTAAGGTCTTTTATAGAATGTAGTTTTTTCTATGCATGTGTTTGTGTGTATGTGTGTGGTTGCTTATTTATCTCAATAGTAATAATTTTAAAATTGAATAAACTCATTCAGAAATTCAGTTGATTGTTAAGCAGTTGATAATATTCACAATCTATCGATTCATGTACTTGCATAGTTTGTCTGATAATTTGGATAACTAAACATATGAATATTTTTTCCTGGTTAGGGTTTTTTTGGCAAGTTAGATTTCGACGAAATAGGGGTCGCCAACCCCATGTCCAACCCTCCTCCTTTATCCGCGCTTGGGACCGGCAGTAGCCCCTAAGGTCCCTCATCCCAAATCTTCTATTTCACATCCTCTTCAAGAAGAATTGGGATGAGGAACAAGTACCATCAGATTGGAAAGAAGGATACCTAATCAAAATACCAAAGAAAGGCGATCTCAACAAGTGTGAGAACTACACAGGCATCACTCTTCTTTCAATACCAAGCAAAGTCTTCAACAGGGTATTGTTAGACAGAATGAAAGACTTTGTAGACGCCCAACTTTGAGATCAACAGACTGGATTCCCTAAAGATCGATCGTGTACCGACCAAACTGCAACATTACGGATCATTGTGGAACAATCAATTGAATGGAACTCACCACTCTACATCAACTTCATCGACTACGAGAAAGCATTCGATAGCGTGGATAGGAAAACACTGTGGAGGCTTCTTCGACACTACGGTGTGCCTGAGAAAATAGTTAACATCATACAGAATTCTTATTATGGATTAAACTGCAAAATCGTGCACGGAGGTCGCCTGACAGACTCGTTTGAGGTGAAGACCGTTGTGAGGCAAGGTTGCTTACTCTCACCCTTTCTATTTCTCCTGGTCATCGACTGGATTATGAAGACGTCGACGTCTGGAGGGAAGTACGGTATCAACTGGACAGCTAGGACGCTGCTCGACGATCTGAACTTCGCAGATAACCTGGCTCTTCCATCGCACACGTAACAACAAATGCAAGAGAAGACGACCAGTATGGCAGCAGTCGGTCTCAACATACATAAAGGAAAGAGCAAAATTCTCCGATGCAACACAACATGCGTCAACCAAATTACTCTTGATGGAGATGCTTGGAGGACATTAACACCTTTATATATCTGGGCAGCATCATCGACAATCAAGGTGGATCGGATGCAGATGTGAGGGCACGGATTGGCAAAGCGAGGGCTGCATTTCTATAGTTGAAAAATATCTGGAACTCCAAACAACTTTCAACCAAAATCAAAATCAGGATTTTCAATGCAAATGTCAAGACAGTTCTACTGTATGGAGCGGAAACTTGGCGAACTTCCAAAGCCATCTTCCAGAAGATACAAGTGTTTATTAACAGTCGTCTACGCAAAATACTTCGGATTCGTTGGCCAGACACCATTAGCAACAACTTACAACTGGGAGAAAACAAACCAGATTCCAGTGGAGGAGGAAATCAAGAAGAAGCAGTGGAAGTGGATAGGACACACACTACGAAAAGCACCTAACTGCATCACGAGACAAGCCTTCACATGGAACCCTCAAGGTAAAACGAAAAGAGGAAGGCAAAAAACACATTACGCCGAGAAATAGAGAAAGATATGAGAGGAATGAACAAACATTGGACAGAACTGGAGAGGGAAGCCCAGGACAGAGTTGGTTGGAGAAAACTGGTGGGCGGCCTATGCTCCATTCGGGGGTAACAGGCGTAAGTAAGTAAGTAAGTAAGTAAACATATGATAACATTACCAAGAGCACTGCATATTAAGCTTTCTATATATTACGATATTTAGATAATCTAATGATTACACAACGGGATCTGTGAGAGAAATTATACACAATGAAATCATGAATCGATCAATGTTAGACCACCATTAGAAACCTGAAAACACTGGATGGACGTTTCGTCCTGGTTGTGATTGTTCTTCTGAAGAACAATGAAAGCTTCACAACCAAAACATCTAGATCAGAAGACGAAACGCCACCACAATCATCCATTTGAGCTACAAACTTTCTTCACCGTTTCGTCCTGGTATGGGACTCATCAGCAGTGCGCATCCACCACTCATGCACCTCGTAGGATTCGAACCCAGGACCTTCGATCTTGCGCGCGAATGCCTAACTTCTGGACTATTGGCCCGGCATCTAACAATGTTAATGAAATTATACACAAATTTTAACATGGGGATTTATAACTAATTGGAGATACAGAAAAACAAGCACACACACACAGACAACGTTGTCCAACAACATACTTGGCGCATTCTTTTCTTTGTTTCTTTTCACAATGATTGCAAAATTGTGCAGAATCACATAATTGTGAAATTTGTGAATTACTACGATTGAATAACAAACTGGAATTCGAATTATTATTATTACTATTCACAGTGATTGGATGACTACTGTCTGTAATGCTTGAATTAGTTGAAGAAGCTGGCTGAGATTGATGTTGTTGAAATCGTCGACTAGTGACATTTTTATCATCATTTGACATTTTACAACATTGTGCACGATATGATTTGACAGTTGTCTGTGAAGAGAAAAGCAAAAAAAAACAGACAGACAGACAGAAATGTCAGTGAACTAACTACTCATTAAAAAATTGACTATAGTAGAGCTGATGAGAATGACAAACAAAGCTATACACACAGTTATAGTGGATTGAAAACTCTGTTGACAGATGTGGATGTCAGAAGTAGTGATTAATGTCGTGGTTGTTTAATCCTTAATGTTGATTAAGTTCGGTTAATACAGTCAGACAGACAGACAGATACAACACAGAACTTCGTACGTACGTACGTACATCAGTTCAGGTTGCCATGCCCCCCACCAGCACAGAGACGCCACTGTTAATTCAAATCCAACAGTGATAGCAATAATAGAAGTATTAGCAGTAATGGAGAAGATTAGGGAGCGAAGATATGATATGATTCAAGAAGTATAATTCAGTGAGATAAATTTAGAAGGAGAAAGATAGAGAGTATGAGGAATTCAGAAGGTTAAAATTAAAAAGCACACAAAGAATGGATGCACCTGCACAATTGCAAACGATTCTGAGCCGTGTCATTCAAGGTCTCTAACAATCGGTGACTATCGTCTTGCGGACCCCAACCAGGTAGTCTACACCTACCAACATGACTCAGTCCACTTGTCAGTGACTTCATGCATTTGTGTCATGTTTTGTTTTGGCCGCCCCTAGTGTTGCAGTGTTACAATGTTGAGCCAACATTGTGACGCACTTTATGTAACGACAAGACTCGAAGGAAACCCTACTCGTCGTCAGCAAGGTGTACTTAAAATCTCAAAGGAACTGAACTCGCGTTGTTCAATGTTCAACACAATCTGAGGTGTTGCAATGAAAACCATTCAGGCAAAAAAAAGTTTCATCTCCCAGTGAGATTTAAATCAATGGTCTGATGTCATATCTTGCTTCGATCACGCTTGAGTACTATTTTTAATCTATGTCTACAATAAGCCAACAATCTAGGTCAAAGGAGTAGGCGATTCTGGTATTGGCTGTTAAACATGCCCCATTTACTTGGACAGATCGAAATTCATCGTCTCATCCATCGATTTTCTATCTTTATCTAGTACCAGACGGTTTATTCGAGCAATGCGGATTGGTCGATTCCACTAAAAAGTAGAAGTTATACTTTGAAGATGTTTAAAACTAAACACTTAGTCACCAACCTTTACGTATATCATCTACTTTCAAAAGATCATAATGCTGCAGTGACACGACAGGCTATTCTAATCCGATTGTCCCAGGCCCCGCTGACAAAAGCAGGAATCTTGATAAGGCGTAGAGAATGTATTCTACAGGCATCCAGAAAGATTGAGGTTGTTAAGTTCACAAATCAGGCTTATTTATACAATGATAGAAACGCCCTTGGTGAGAGCCACAAAATAGCGTACTAAAATAATCCGTCAACCAATGACAGTCAAGGATTTTCCAAGTGGGAAATGTAGGCTGACAGTCAACTTGGTGTCTCTGGCGCGAAAACATGAAAATTCAACATTTCAAGATAAAATTACAAAAGGACCTTTCCAAGTGAGTTCTGGGGATCCGACGTCCCCAACAAGAAGATAATAGTAAGTAAATAAACACTGATAAACATGTCCAAAATTAACAACACAACCATTTAGAATTCCACACGGAGCGCGATTTTTTTCTTTAAGACTATGAGGGCCTCCTCCCTGCAGGAAGCTCAACTAGCAAAACACCTAGGGGGCAAAGCAGGGTTTTATTTACCAACCATCTAATAATAATAATAATAATAATAATAATAATAATAATAATAATAATAATAATAATAGTAATAACTGACAATAACTCACAGCTGGTGTTTCTTTAATCTCATAACAATCTTGTACAGGAACATCAATTCGTATAAAACTAATTAAACAGGCTAAAGTGCCAGATGCACAGATGATCAAGACGACAATTGATATAATGAGCTGGTTGTTTTTTAATAAAACAAAAAAGAGGGATACAGAGTGATACAATCTAATTTCTAATGATGATTAATTGAGAAGAAAAGAGATTGAAGTTATATGACACAAACTGACTGAGGTTGCTAGCAGTAAACCATTATGATCGAGACAACAGGTTTAGTGGTAGCCATCACAAGATTGATTGGTAGCTTCTCAGTTCGATGTTCTGATGGAAGAGTCCACCATCGGTGGTGTTGTTGTTGGTTGGACTAGTTTGGTTGGAAAGAGTAACTTGTCAGCGTGAAATGTGCTTTCAACAGACCTTTTAAGTCGATGTGTCACCCGCTATGTCTTCTTCAGAATCAAGTAACCTGCTTTCTATAAGGATAGATGATTATGTAGAAAGAAATTTATTTAGAAATAATACATGGATGGGTCCGTATACACATTTTCTAAGCTTTACACCCCTTCAGTATGAAATAAATTTGGTGAAATGTCTCAGCCATAGAATCAAGGTTTTGTGTTCTGAGGATAGTGTAGATGGCGAAATAGACAAACTAAAGAAAGCATTACGTAACAATGGTTACCCAGATAATTTTGTCATAAAATTTCTGTCAGAATGGAAAAACAGGACAAATTCTGATACGGCCAGTAAAAAACCCTCTATCTGACATGACATTTTTACATATCGACCTGAAAGATTAGTCGAAGGGACATTTCACGCTGCTAAGTTACGTGTAGTTTTCCCAACACAAACCAGTACTCACACAATGAATCAAGGATAGGTTACCGATGATGGGCACTTCCAACTCAAATGCTCCTGTGGAACTAGTTACATAGGTCGTATTTAGAGGACTTTTCTTCTCGTGTGCTTGAGAACATGTATCGACATGGTTAAGAAGAGGAATAACGAAATCGATTAACAGAGTCATTCATTCTCACCTAGTAGGTTAGTGAACACCATATGAAGCTATCTCTATTTTACATCAAGTTCTGAACAATCTACCCAAAGGAGCTCAGTTACAACTCGTCTGCATAGCTATAGGCCATCTGGATCAACTTCAGAAAACCTAACTAATGTAATACAAAAGCGATTTATTCAGCCTCTGTGTTTATCTTGTTCTACAACAGGCTTAAACTACATATTAGATAAAACCTCTTATTCCCTCTCTGCCATTCCCTTTTGCGCTTATATCTTTCTTAATCTACACATTCATCTTTTCCAATTCATAAACATTTATGATTTTTTTTTAACATAATACTTTGATCACACTGCTCATATTACATATTGTAGTCATGAAACGTTACGATTATTATTATTATTATTATTATTATTATTATTATTATTATTATTATCGTCATTGTACGATTGTATATATTGATTACAACTTGACTGACCTTTAACAAATGACCTTGACAATTCACAAAAATAACACAATCTTAAAGTATGTACACAACTGTTGTAACAGTTGTGTAAATGTTTACTATTTTTAACATACAAACATTCTCCAATCCAGATAACACAATAATTATGAATTTAAAGCAACTGTAGAGTCTGATGACAACAAAGTTATTGAAACACAATTGTTTGTCCCAGTATTCTTTATCTTCAATTTAGATGTTAAGATCTGTGTGTATGAGTAACAACAAAGCCGGTAAGTAATAAACCATATTAAAATAGTACATACTTGTGTATTATTCATTACTAAACTATTTCTGAATATCTTATATTTGCACAAAGTACAGATTAACCTTGAGATGCAAGAGCTAGGTGATAACAACTAGTGCTTATCAGGAAACTGAAACTCCAGGCTTGAAAGGAGTGATACTATTTTTTACACATTTTTGTAACCATGAATCGATCAATGTTAGACCAGCATTAGAAACCTGGAAGCACTGAAAGACGGCCGTTTCGTCCCGGTATGGGACTCATCAGCAGTACGCATTCACGACTCATGCACCTCGCAGGATACGAAAATTAACACCGTTAGATACCGGCTTAGTGGTCCGATGGTTAGGGCGTCCGCGCACAATACCGAAGGTCCTGGTTTCGAATCCTGCGGGGTGCAGGAGTCGTGGATGCGCAATGCTGAGGAGTTTCATACCAGGACGAAACGGCCGTCCAGTGCTTCCAGGTTTCTAATAGTGCTGGTCTAACATTGATTGATTCATGATTTCAAAAATGTGTAACTTAACAATCTTCACAACCCCGTAATACTACTTTTTTTTATCGAAATTAGAATTGAGATCAGTCAATTTTGAGACCAGGAAACAAATACATGAATAACATATTAATCAATGCATATACATACATATACAAAAAAGTGCATTTGATTATTACTAGCTTGATTACTTACTTGATTAGTACCATATTGAAAAACTGGATTGTTCATTTTCACCTCTTGACCGAATGATGTTAATAATAATATACAAGTGACAACCATAGGTGTTCTATAAATATCAAGATCAACACACACAAATACAACAATGAACAAATATGAATTTTTTTCCCTAAAAAAAAACAATGTGATCATATATGCCATAGGTTGATATGACAATGGAAATGTTAATGTGCACGCATACATATTGGACATGTGTGAATTCGAAATGGTTTTATAAAGTGACCATTTGAATTGTTACGAAACGAAAAAAGTGCGGAGCAGGGGGAGAGGGAACGAGCGGTAAGTGTAAATTAGCGGAAATCGGATCAAGGCACATGACAAAGATCTCAAATCATTTTATTGACTAATCAAAAATGAATAAATTGAACTATTTAACATATTCTGTAAGATAGAATTTAAAACCAAAGTTACAAGGAAGCATGATATGTAAGCTAATCATCGTCATCATCATCATAATAATAATTGAAAAGCATAGAAGTATTCAAGCCAATTTAAATAGGAGTATGAGAATGCATGAGATAATCATAACAATAATCTAGAACATTTTAGAAAAAAAAAATCAATATTGATACTCATCATAGTGTTCTGGAGATGGTTGTTTTCTATTGAAATCATGTATCAATCATTCTTAGTGTTACGCTCGTCTTTAGGTATGCTTTGAAACTATTACGAGTTCACCTTAGTCAAATAACGAGAACAAAACAATGAACCAGAGTCCAGGTAGGCCATTGTGATCCCTTGATTAAATTGCATCAGCGAGAAATCTTGATATAGTGTAGAAATTGTATTCTACAAACACCCAGCCAGTCCACAATGAATCCAAGCACTCAAATTGCGTCTATTTATACTCTATAGAGACGTCCTTGGGACAGTCACAAAAATATCACACTAAAATGACACAGTAACCAATCACAGCCAAGGATTTCCCTGGTGGGAAATGTGATCTCAAGGTCAACTGGTCGGTCCATGAACTGAATCCAAAATAAAGATATTTATCAAGCGAGTTCTGGGGATCTAACATCCCCAACAGTTAGGCTACCATTATAAAGGGAAATCTGGAAGCATAAGATGGCCGTTTGTCCTAGTACCATACACTTCAGCAGTACACGTCGATGGCCCCTGCTCGCGGGAATCGAACCCAGTACATTCGGTCTCGCGCACGAACGCCAGCATCCAACAGCGTTAATGTCTAACAGGAATCAACCTAAGGATGACGGCTCAGTAGTTTAGAAGTTAAGAGTTTATGTTCGAGACCGAAGGTCCCGGGTTCGATTCCTGAGAGTAGTGGGAGTTGTAGATGATTGCGCTGCTGATAAGTTCCATACTAGAACGAGATAGTCGTCCAGTGCTTTTAGATTTTTAATCGTACTCTAACACTGATCGATTGATGATATGTATTCAAACATTATTATTAAACATAAAGTTAGTGAACCAATGAACTACTCAATGTACGTTCATGAATAATAAAACACTCAATATATATATAACAGATTTCAACCTGAAATAAATAGAATTTGATTAATATTGTAGTGAAGGAGAACACAAATGAGGGCAACCGCATTGTGTTTATCGCAAATTACAGAGTTAATCAGTAAAATAGGAAAACCATATCGTAAACGGTTAATTTGCAAATCTTCAATCAATCATTAATCCATTGTCTGACATTTCACTTATTCATGCGTTTCATACAAATTCCATTGTGTTCCCACTCTTCTTCCTTTCTCTTGATCTTCCCCCATCCTCTTCTGCTGCCAGACATTACGTTTACACTCGCGTCATGTACTACTTATAAGTAGCGCGCACCACAATAGTATTTTAGTTATTCTTTACACTACTACTAAATGATTTACGTTAATGTTTCAGCATTATAGTTTGATTTGTAGTTATAGCTAGATTAGTTAGTGTTATTCAATAGAAGCATGTGTCCATCCATATGTGATGTTGTTTGTTTGATACTCTCACATGAATAGTATCATCCTCTTGAATGATTGACCTTGTTAATAGGCTAACCAAAAAATGATAACAACATGACACTTTTTTTATCAGATGTTTATAAAATTATCTAATAGCTAGTGAAGTGTTTTCTTGATTCCTGATATTTTTTAAAAAAAGGAAGACTAGTTTTACAACTAGAATAATCTTGCTGATCAACTTTTGTATTCATTTAACAACTATGAGAGTGTAGAATTAATACGTGAACTTATATATTTTCAGTTAGAACTTTGGAGATTTGAGTTTTTTAACACACTTGAAATCATCAATCAATCATTGTTAGACCACCAACATTCGAAACCTGGAAGCACTGGACGGCCGTCTCGTCTTGGTATGGGACTCATCAGCAGTGCGCATACACCACTTCTGCACCTCGCAGGATTCGAACCCAGGACCTTCGGTATTGTGCGCCAGCGCCTAACCATCGGACAGTACTCACTAGTGACTAGCTTCGTGAGGAATTTCCCGGGGTTCTAGTGAGAAGACGTGACCAATGGAGTTCAACCCTGTCAGGTGTAGGCAGTAACTACCGAAGACAAATGGGTGAGGTCGAGCAAAATCCCTAGATCAATCAGAGTTAGACATTGAAACCGTTGGATGCAGGCCCAATGGTCCGGTAGTTAGGCATTCGCGCACAATGCCAAAGGTCCCGTGTTCGAATCCTGCAAGGTGCAGGAGTCATGGATGCGCACTGCCACTGATAAGTCCTATACCAGGACGTAATGGCCGCCAAGTGCTTTCCGGTTTTTAACGGTGGTCTAACAATGATTGATTGATGATTTCAAATGTGTAAAGAACTCATATATACTAACAATCGATAATAATATGAATGAAGATGATGATGTTGAATTGTGAAATTCTCTATCAATTGAATAAGACATCATAATATTCAAAGGGAACATAGAAACACTAAACTTTTGTTGATTGATTTTGATACTGTAACAATTTAACAAGATAACAGGGTTAAATAAACTGAACTGGACAATTATCTTTTAGATAAATTTGAGATATTGCTACAGTTGTGTATGCATGTAAAACTATTTTCTATTATACATACATGTATCCTTATCTATGTGGTGTAGGAGTAGGTTGGAATGGTGGAGAAAACTTGTAGCTCAGGTGGATGATTGTGGTGGTGTTTTGTTCTCTGAGCTCGTTGTTTTGGTTGTGGAGAAGAACAATGAAAGCTACACAACCAAAACAACAAGCTCAGAGAACAAAACACCACCACAGTAGGTTGGAATAAAGCTAGGGACGGCCAAACCAGACGCAAGTCACAAATCCATGACGTCACCGACAACGGGAAATGAGTCATGTTGGTAAGTGTAGACTACCTGGTTGGGGTCCGCGAGATGATAGTAATCAATGGTTAGAGACCTTGTACGACATGGCTCAAAATCGTTTACAATCATGCGGGAGCATCCATTCTTTGTGTTCTCCCAAATCCTAATCCTCTGGATTCTTCATTACCTTTATCTTTTTAAGCTTATTTCACTAGATTATACTTCTTGAATAATATCTTCAAACTCTAATCTCTCCAATTACTGCTAATACTTTTACTATCTCTACCACTATAGGATTTGAATTAATAATTGCGTTTCTGTGCTAATTTAGTATGGCAACTTGAACTGATGTACGTAGGTAGGAAGTTCTATGTTGTTAATGACTGACTGACTGGCTTATATAAAGATGAACGTAAAGTCGCTGGATTTCTTCATTGTACCATATGATACTTTCAATGATTCAAATTAAAAGATTTAAACAATTTACATTGTTCAATTTTATTTTCTCTGTTTATAATGGGTGCTAACTTTAGTGTTGAAAAACTTGTCAAGCTCAGTATAGTATTAGGACTTCATACATTATTATTTTGACAGTATTGTGATAATATATTCTCTAACGAATAGGTATAACTTATATTTTTAGATATGAAGTGGTTTGTCGTACACCAGACAGACAGACAGATACAACACAGAACTTCGTACGTAAGTACATCAGTTTAGCTTGCCATACCACATCAGCACAGAGACCCAACTGTCAGTTCAAATCCATGAGTGATAGGGATAGTAGAAGTATTAGCAGTAATGGAGAAGATTAGGGAGCGAAGATATGATTCGAGAAGTATAATTCAGTAAGATAAATTTAGAAGGAGAAAGATAGAGATGATGAGGAATTCAGAAGGTCAGAATTAGAGAGAACACAGACAGTGGATGCACCTGCGCCATTCCAAACGATTCTGAGCCATGTCGTTCAAGGTCTCTAACCATCGGTGACCGAAGCTGCTACCTTGACGTGGTGGTCGGGTTTGCCTATCGTCATGATCCAACCGAGCTATATTGGCTGGAACATATGTTCATGAAGGTTCAGCCATGTCAGGCAGGTCGATTGGAGGACGATCAGACTAAAAGCAGCTACTCAAGGTCTGAGGGCGAAGACGTACTGCTGACTGTGATGGAGGGGTGTGACAGCAGTAAGGTGTTTCCCTCGGACAATCAGCATATGCAGTGATGCTGCCTTCTCACAAGGAAGGAAGGGTTAGAAAAGGTCGACCCTAAAAATGTCACACCTCACCCTACCTCACGGATTTCCGTCTCCGTCGGTAAGGGTGCCCACTAAGGGCTTTTAAGAGCGGAGCTAATCCTCAAAAAACCCTTGATAAAAAGGCGGTGCGTGACCGGCCTCAATCACTTGTCCCTTGGACTCTGCGGTCACACTCTCAGGTCTCTAAGACCAACGCTAATCCACCTTGCTTTTCAGGTTCCTCAAGAAACAACCTCCCACGGTGTGTGGGCAGCCGGGAAGTGACAACCGCCCCCATACCCGTAACAGCACACAAGACCAAATTGGTCAAAATCAAGTCCTTGTCGTACACCACATATGATGTGAAATGGCCACCTACATGTAAAACAGCTTTATACGACACAAGTTTAAAAATATCAAATTTCATTGCTAAGTGATTTTCCATCAACTGTTCATGTTGGTGATTATATTCCTGGGATGGCTGAACATCCGTACTGTGAAACAATTGAAGAAGTCTTGTCTGTTCCACAAAGTATA